GCATCTTGAACCAACACAAGTTATTTGTCATTGTCGTTGTCGTTTTGGTTTAGAATATGCAGTTCAAGAAGAATCTGTTGCTGGGGAATTCCATTTTGGGTTTGAAATGGATGTTGTAACATTGTGGGCACCATTGGTATTAAAATCAATTACTTTGTCAAATAAGGGAGGAGTTTGGTATTGTTGTTTGTGTTTCTTTGGAGTTTGGATTTTAGTTTTTTCTTGGTCAGTCTGGAACATTGATCTCTACACGTTTATCTGGGCAGCAAAAAATTAAGAAAGAACTTAAGGATTTAGAAGGAAAACCCAATTTACAAGTCAACGTGTAAAATAATTGTGGTGTCCAAAGCCAGGGATTTCACAAGTTTTGTAGCAATGGTTATTGTATATCTTTGTTTTGTTTCACAGTAAAGCATGCTTCTACTTCCTTAACCTTATTGTTTTCTATTTCTCAGTCTGTATTTCAAAAAGAAGCAGCATGTTTTCTCCCTGAAATGAAGAATTAAAATAGATTTCTTGTATGAAACACCTGCACAGTAGGAAGTGAAACAGAACTTTTTAGCTCTCACTGTTTTATGGCAAGATTTCTGTTCCCTTTCCTTCCTGTAAACAAAAGGAGACACTTAGAGAGTGGGAAATAAGCTATTTACAGGATATTTTCTATATGAAAGGAAGGAAAAGGCCTTTACAGGGATCAGTCTATTGTGTTGGGAATATGGAAAGTTATATGGAGTTAAATTTAGTTTAGTGCTTGCAGAGGAAATGCATGGCAAAATACATGTAATCACTTCAGTCTTGACCCTATAAATTGCTGGATGCCCCCATTTAGTTGCTGAAATCAAAGCAGGACCTAGGACATGGAGTGCTGTGGTTTGATCCCAAATCCTTTGTGTAACCTGTGGTCATTGTAAGAACTAGATCAGAGAGCGACTACACTAAGAGCTTATGCAGTATGGCTTTTATTTATAAACAAGTGGTTTTGATACTTGTACTTCTAGATAGATGTTCAAGTTACTTTTGCACATCTGTTTTTCATCTGTCTCTTTGAAATACGATTGTCTCTGCTCGACAAGTGTTATAATTGGATTGTTCATGGAAGTAATGGTTTCCAGTGTACTTGTAGAGTGTATATATTTTCAAAGTTCTGCTTCACATATGAAATATATTAACTACAATTCTGGTGTGAACAAGGCAGTCTTATTCTTGCCTGTGTTATAAAATTAATTTCTGTGAATAGCTATTAGATTTTCATTTACCTTCTGTAGCACCAGCAAGAGTCTTTATCACCAGTAAGAATTGTGGATGAGTTATTTAACTCTAAACTCTGCCTAAGCATTATGGATTAATACAGCTTTCTTGAAACCTTGGGTGTATAAGATGATAGGACTGATGATAGCTTTGCCAATAAAATTGAGCAGGGAAAATTGAGCAGAGAAAAATCTTGTCATTAGTTGTATCACTTTTATCTGCAGTTCTTGTACTTAAGTCATACTTGAAAATGGAAATTCATTGTAGCAGTTTTTGTAATTTCTTTTGCTCCATATATTAAGTTCAAGATTCCTAGTACTTGAATATCATGAAAAGGCAGTTTTAAGTATGGGAAAGAAGAAAGTAAAGAATCTTGTGTGCTTAATAGATACTGATATCCTTTTTTGTAAAAAGGATACTTAAATAAAAAAAGCTTTAATAGCAGTATTAGCTGTTAAAGAAATGATGGGGTTGTTTATCTTGCATGATGGATTCAGTTCCTCACACAGAAATTCTAATGTCTAGGTGTTCCTGGGTATGTGCATCTGTGTTTGTAAAAGGCAGCTGAGAGTGGTGTATCATTTGGCATGTCTTGGTGAAAAGAGAGTGTCTTTGTCCCAGCAGAAGAAAAATAATGATTCCTTTGCTGCCTGTATTTGGGGTTGTGTTTTTCTAGGATAGAATTGTCAGTCTGCTGGTTTGCTTTCTCTCTGTAGTTTTCTAATTCTTTGTTCAAGGCAGGGCGTTACCAAAAGGGCTACTGTAGTCATGAACAAGACTTGGTCTAGGTGTAGAGGAGAGTGTAAAGTTTCTCCTTGGAAGTTTGGAGTGTTGAAGACAAAAATGTCAATAGCTTCCCACAGTCTAGAACAAATGACTTGACAAGGTGTTAGCTAGCTTTTTGGGATTTATTTTTTTCCTTGCGTATCCCATCAAAAATACAGCTCCTACATTGTAAATCAAGTGTGTCCAGGGTACATCAGACTTACTGGGTAGATTGACTGTGTCAGGTTGATATTCTGGACATACTGAACTTGCTGTGGAGATAACCTTGGCAGTGACCATCTGTACAGTGTTTTGGAGCACTGAAAAGCTGCTTGGAACTAGGCTTTCCTGATGAGGATGCTGCCTCTTTGCCCATTTTTCTGGAATCAATTTCTTCTAAATAGACAAAACTTTTTGGGTATAGAAAGAAAACTTGTCCAGTGAAAATGAGAGATCTTGTACTGATATTATTCTATCTTTCTGCTTTTCCTACAACAACAAAATAGGAATAGAAAATATTAAAAGATTGGGACATAAATAATACCATATAATCATGCAGAAAAATAGTTTCCTTGTAGTTGAAAATGAGGTGCAGTATATGGCAGGCCACAGTTATGAATGTCTTACTTTTTGCCAAACAGGACTACTAACAAGGATTGACTTTCCAAGCAGGAATTATTTCTACCTGCATTTCAGGTATCTTTTGATGTGAGCTCTTCTTTGCCTTGTCTTTGGCCAACTTGACTTCCTTAGTGACAACTCCTGTAGAAACAAGGTACTGGTTTTGAATTGCAGTGGACATTCACATAAAGGTTAAGAACCAACAAATAAAATCCATTTTTATTCCATCCTGGAGAATAAAGCAACCCAGATGTGACTCCATGAGTAGTAAAACATGAGATGCCCAGAAAAAACCAGATCTGTGATAGTCACCTAATGCACAGCAATTTTAGGATGTCCAGTACTACAAATAACTTTTGAAGTACATGAAAGAAAATAGGCATCATTATCTCTGATTTGTAATTTGTTACTTTATGTGAGTTTAAAGGAACATACATTACTCAAAATTTTATGAGCTTTATGAATGTAGGGGCAAGATGTTATAAAGAAAACTTTTGACTACTGTGAGATAATAAATTAGTTTTGGACTATATAACATTCTATTTCTTCTCAATTCTTAAATTCTTTTCCTGATTCAGTGTTCTGTATAAGAACTTTGGATTAAAGAGAAAAATTAGTATGTGGACAAGGCCTAGTGTTTTCCCATTTGGCTGCCTCACAAAAGAGCAACATAATCCTCTAAATCCTACTTTGAGGATCAATTGATTCCACTTTCTGCTCCCATAAGCAGACAATTTAAAAATTGTCTTTGAGACAGATATTTTGAAGCTTGCTTTTCCAGTGATTTGAATACAAGATTAGTTTGGGTTTTTTTGTGAGAACGACAATGCTAATAATTATAATATTCTCATAACCTTATTTATAGAAAACTGGAAGCAGTTTCTGTTGGAAAATGGACCAGATTCCGTAGACGTTCTAAGAAAAACTGTTTTCCATTTTTGCAGTTGCTTTCTTCTCATGGTTTTACTGTTGCCTTTCAGTATTTACTATGGCTTTAGTTTCAAATTTTACTGGAGTGAGTTTTATGTGTGAAATTTATCTTCATCAGATGTAATTTTTAGGTTGGGAATGAAGAATTTCTGTTTAATATCATGGGGGTTTTTAATTGCGTCTTCTGTTGGCAAACAGATTAGTTACCTCATCATACTGGTCAGCACTACTGATAGAGTTTAGGGCTTTTTTTAGCTCTCCCATGACAACTGCACTGGCCAAGGTGTTTGCTCAAATTTTGGATTGTACCTACACCAGGAGTTGGGTTTCTGTATTTTTTTTTTTTTTGCTAGTGAGAGCATATTGATGAAGGTAGACTTAAGTGGTTGCCTAATTTTGTCTAGACCTAGAACGAGGAACTGTCCTGCATTCCATCTGCATAGGCTTTTTGTTTGTTTATGTTACTGATGTCTATAATACCTAGATATGCAACTGACGCAGGATTCTGAGGCTTTGTGTTCTTTTCCATTGTGTGCACTATTCTGTAAAATACCTATTAGAATTATTTTTGTCCTTATGGTGGTGATTTAGTACAGGAAATAACATCTGTTCCTGCTGTGTGTGTGTTCTTTTTCCTTTCTTTCAGTATGAATATAACATTGTGTATTTTCAAGCCAGATTTTACCATCTGAGATCATGGTAAAACAAATTCCTTTTGAAACTTTGCTAGCTCAGATATAAAATAGCCAAATTGCCTTGCTGGTACTTGATAGTTTTAATATTTATCTCTTTCTAACATTGATCAGACAGACCTAGCTAAAGTATTTTTATTTTACATATGCTTTTATTTACCTTCATTGAGAAGCAAATATCAAATTGTCAAATGTAAATTTTGCAGTGTTAGATGCTTTCTTGGCTGTAAGTCATCCCACAGAATCCCAGAGCATATTTCTAAACCTTTTGGATCTACTCGCTACTCTTTTCTCTCAAAACTTTTTATGGAACTTCATGACTTTTTCTCATCCTTGTAATTGAAAAAATCATTATGCTACTTGGTTTTTACAGTACACTCCTAGGGATAGCTGTGGACCCTTTATGATAACCTTGGAAATAGAGCCATAATGAAAGAGTCTGTTGGTTCAGCACCTTCTGGCTCATGACCTTTTGCCTTAGAAACGCTTTTTTTCTAGTTACTGCCAGGAACTTGCAAAGATGACACCTTTAAATTCTCTGTTGCAACACATGCATACGAAACTGTGCTGATTTTTAGAGCCAGGGAGTTGTTCTTGATATTTTATTTGCATGTAGAAATGACTAGATTTTCATTTTACACTAGTGTTTATTTCAGGTTTGTTTTTTTACTTATCCCTTAATATCATAAGGGGACATGTTCACCTAAAACCAAAAACAATAAACCTTTCTCATTTGACTTGCAGGTATCTCCATTTTGTTGATATCAGAAAAAAAGTGACTGAAGCTGGCATCCTTTGTGAACTCTTCTAGTCAAAGGTAAGCATAATTTCTAACTGGTGGCAAATATGGTTTTGCTATGTTTGTAGTACTACCCTGCCTTTTAAGTAAAAAGTGCTGCTGTCTTTCTTGGTGTTTGACATCTCACACACTGTATTTCCTTGGGATGCCTAAAGCACCCTAAAAAACCGTAACATAACTTGTATGGCTTGGTGTACAAATGAATAAAGAATGCTTTGGGTAGGAAGGGACCTTTAAGATCATCGCATTCCACCCTCCCTGTCATAGGCAGGACATTTTCCAGTAGCTCCGTTCAACCTGGTCTTTCACAGCTTCTCAGGATGACCTGTTCCAGTGTTCCACCACCCTCACAATAAGGAATTTCTTCTTAGTATCCAGTCTAGACCTGCCCTCTTTCAGTTTGGAGCCATCTCCCCTTGTCCCATCACTGCATGTCCTTGTAGAAAGTCCCTCTCTGGCACTCCTGTAACCCCCTTTGCTTACTGAAAGGCTGCTACAAGATCTCCCCTGTCTTCAGGCTGAACAAAACCTGTCTTCAGGGGAAGCTCAGCCTATTTTTTTAAATCTGTAACTTGGCAGATTGCCTCTCATTAACGTTGAACTGTACGGTACAATCAATATTATAGAGCTGTTATTGTACAGAAGGATTATTGTGTTCTGTAATGCATTAGATAAGTCAAATATAAAATCAGTGTTTTGGTGATTTGGAAATTCTTAGCTTGGTTGTCTTCTGGAGAAGAGCTGCTATGACCAGAAATAAACACTTTGTAAGTGCTAATTTAGCTACTTGTGGACAATCCCTCCAATTGCCAAAAATCATGACATATAGATATTTTCTGCACCTGGAATTGGGAGCTGCAGTTACCATTCTATGCCTCCTATCTCTACAAACTCCTTGATCTAGTTCAACTGGATTGGTTTTAATTGTAGGGGTATGGCTCAGGCTTAGAAATACTTCATGTTGGCTGAACACAATCTGTAATCTGAAGACATTCAGCATAGTAGTTATCTGTTTCTATCATATTTCTGAAACCAGTAAAACTTCTAACTTCATTTCAAACTACATATTGTTTCAAGGACAAAAAAGATTCTGAAACAAGAATTTAAAAAAAAATTATCTTAAATTTATTATGTGCTCAGAGATTTGTATGAAGTAAGATAACTGCTTTTTGTCAACGTATTCAAAGCATCATAGATTTAGGACAGTCTGAATAATTGATCCTCCTTGCCATGCTTGCCATATGCTTTGATGCAGGAGGAGAGATTGAACTTTGTGTCCAGCCACCTGAGCCCGTGGGCCCTTCATGTGCTACAGCAGTTAAACTAGGTGGATACTCAATAGCGATGTTGTTGTTTATCAGATTTTAAGTGGCTCCCTTTGCTCACATCAGGTTAATAGGTTTTTTCCCCTTCTCGTCTGAGACTCCATTTCTTCAATTAATGGTCAGTTCTGTAATACAGAATAAGATCACAAGACTCCCATTTTACTGAGCTTGATGAAGCTCTGCTTTATTAATGGCAGAGTAGAACATATCTCTGAAAATCTTATCTACTACTTTTCATATAAACAATGTGCTTTTGCCTCTCTAGACTGAGAGGACAATACTGTAGCGTATTTTGCATTGTGTGTTGTCAATAATATCTTCATTTGAATAATGCTAATGTAGTAAAAGAGAACTTAACACAAGTATTTTTAGTCTAAAATTGTGTGCTAACCACTTCTAGTATTGCCCTTGCTTTATCTTTTGACTGTATAGTTGACCGATGCATAGTAGCTGTTTAAAGAAATCTGGAAGAAGCTGAAAGATATATATTGTATATTTTGCCCTCTTTCTATGGTTTAGAGTAATAGGTGTTATATATAATAATGCTGCAAAAAAGAATGATGGTTATAGATGTCTAATCTTTAATAAATTGCATTGCTTTTCTTTCATAATTTGAAAGGTATTTAATACAAGGAATATTGCTGTTTAAGATGGGAGAAGAAACTTATGGTGTGCTCACCCCTGAACTAAATACACATTAATTTTTTTTCTTTGGGTTTTAATAATCCTGAAAAAACGTTTATGTCAAAATAATTCTTTTGATGTAGTTTATGATTATGGTAGCCATGGTACTGATTAGCAGGTTTGATAATCCTGACTTTGAAACATGTAATTTTGTAGACTATAAAAGTTTATTTGCTCTTTCTTATCATAAGTACAGACATAAGAAGATAGGAGGGAAATTATTTTAGTGGTAGAAAACTGATAGCAGCTTTATCTCCAGAGTTAAATAGTGAATCATTTATTAAAGAATGGTAACACTAAAAAGTAAAACGTTTGAAATTTCTTTTTCAGATGTATTCTAAAATTGGTTACACAAAACCAAATGTTTGAAAAGTGTTTACAATTTCAATTATTTTAAAAGGAATCTGAATTACTTACATGAGGTTGTTCAGCTGTTGCAACTGCACGGCTGCCTACATTACACTGCAGACGTACTGTTAAGGCAGAGGAACAAATAAAGAAATTGGAGGCTGTACATCCAGTAGAATATATGCATGTCAGATTCAAGTGATAAACTTATCACATTTGCTGAAGTCATCATCAGCTTTGTGGGTGATGTTTTCATTGGGAGGATGTGTCCAAATATATGATGTAGATATAGAATCAGTAAACCTAAATACAGCATTTAGTCTTCGTTTTGCATCCAGAGGCATGTTTCCTTTTCATAATAATAAATCAATTTAAAACTAAACCTGTCCCTCTTTGCCTCCAGTTACTCATAGGCTGAACTACTAGCTACTGAGACTTTAATAATTTTATAGATGTTTAATAATTTTATAACTTAACATTATAATTTATTAATTAATAATTATTTTAATATATATTTAAGAATATCTAATAATTTTGATAGATATTTCATAGGGACACGTGTATCTAGGACAACCAATGTGATCCTATAGTTTGGTATTTTGGAAGTATTTTTGTGCTCTGGGAATAACCTGGTGTCTAAAGGCTTTATGTATTTTTGTGAGTTAATGAAAACATCATCTATTGACAGTTTGTGTATGTTGAGAGTTGTGATATGGGCATGGATAGAAGAATGTAGTTTGGGCATAAACATATCATATATTCAGAAACTAATGCAAACAAAAAATGTATAGCAGTAGGTTTGATCTGATAATACATGTGTGACATGATACAACTTTTTCACAGAAAATGTGGTGTGCATTTGGTGCAAAGAAAACTCTTTTCAGAAGCTGAACTATATTAGACAAATCGCAGAATTGCTGAAATGGAGAGGTCCCTCTTGAGATCACATAGTCAACCATCCCTGCCCAAGTTCAAGGCCAGTTGGATTTCAACTATCTTCAAGTGTGGAAACTCCACAACCTGTCTGGGCAACCTGTTCTGTTGTCTGACTCTCACAGCCAAAGAGTATTTTCCTATGTTTAGGAAAATGTTTCATGCATTTCCTGTCTTATTTCCCTCTTTCCTTACACTGAACACTCATGAGGAGAGTCTGGCTCCCTTTCATGCCCCCAGTTAGGCATTGGGTGAGACAGACCCCTTCTGAGCTTTCTCTTCTTCAGGATGAGCAGCCCCAGCCCCCTCAGCCGTTCCTCACATGAAAGATGGTTTGATCCCTCAAACATTTTAGTGGTGCTTCCCTGGATTTGCTCCTGTAGTTCCATGTCATTCTTGTACTGGGGGAATACAGAACAGAATACTCCAGATGTGATGAGGGATTGATGATGGAATTTTAGCTCTAACCAATAAATGAACAATAACTACTTTGCCATTTTTGTCGATAGCAGTGTAATATATTCAATAATTCTGTATGGTGTTTCATGTCTCAAATACACCTTTTCAATCTCCAAATTATTATCCTTTATTTCCTCTGCAAGAAGAATTAGGATATACTTAGTGTGGTAAGCCAGAACTAAAATAAGGACACGTAACCCCCAACACTTAGGTATAAATAAAATATCAAGCTGCTTTATATTTCAAGGCACGTGTGCCTCAGTTTTGGAATGGCCCATAATCTTAATAGTTCTGTCACCTGCCACCTGAGTGGAAAGGTCTTAGGGTAAGTCAACCAATGTTTTCCTTAAAAGTTACTGGGTCTCACATCCTACAAAATACGAGTAATGCTATGGGGTTGTTTGTTTTGTGTTCAAAAAATCATACCAATCTGCAGAGTTGGTCTTCCCAGTCTGGTTCCCTTCTGGCTGCCATAAATCTGGCAGGATTGATCAGTTCAGGGAGAGGGCTGTTTAGATTCCTAAAGGCAGTGAGCCAAAAAAATATCTGTGCTATGCTGTGTCTCTCTGCCCTGTGCTACACAAAGTCTGCGATTCTGGAAAGATTTATTAGTTTGTTTGGATCTTTCCATTTAGCTTACTGGAGCTTGGAAAGAAGTAAGACTCTCTCACCTCTTCAAATGCTGTATCACTCTAAATAATGAAGAGATAACAGTAAGAAGCACAAGTTGACTCCTTGTAAAAGCATTAGTGAGGTCCTCCAAAATAAAAGTCAAGGTAAAATAACAGGCATGTTAGTAGAATGGGAAGAGCTTACTAACGTGCATTTTGGGTTAGCTGTTTTGGAGAGGGAATAGGGGGGTAAAAAGGGAATATTGGCAGGTTGGGTAAGATAGTTAGGATCAAGAACTGGAGAGTGATGAGTCTTAGAAGGAAAAGAAACAGCTAATTAAAAAAAAAATTGGGAGAAGCTAGTGTTAAACTTTCTTTCCCTAGCCATCAGCAAAAGTAGTATTTATTTTCTCTTTGAGGAAGAGGCTGATGTGCCACTGGTGCTAACTAAACAGATGTAAGAAAAAATAACAAATGCATTAATAAACAAATAAAAAGAATTTTTATTTTGAAAAAAAAGTTGTTGGGAGGGAGGGAAGAAAGGATGCACACCAGCCTGATTCCTTAATTAATGTAATCTAATTTATTTTAGTAAAACGATGTGTGTATTATTGTCTTATAAAAAGTGAAGGATTACAGTAAATTATCTTAATTGAAA